CCAGAAGTCTGAATAGCCATCACAGGGGCCAGAAGTCCAAATAGCCATCACAGGGGCCAGAAGTCACATATAGCAGTCACAGGGACCAGAAATCTGAATAGCCATCACAGGGGCTAGAAATCACATATAGCCATCACAGGGGCCAGAAATCACATATAGCAGTCACAGGGGCCAGAAGTCTGAATAGCCATCACAGGGGCCAGAAGTCTGAATAGCCATCGCAGGGGCCAGAAGTCTGAAAAGCCATCACAGGGGCCAAAAGTCCAAATAGCCACCCCAGGGGCCAGAAGCCTGAATAGCAATCACAGGGCCCAGAAGTCTGAATAGCTATCACAGGGGCCCGAAGTCAAAATAGCCATCACAGGGGGCAGAAGTCTGAATAGCCTTCACAGGGGCCAGAAGTCCAAATAGCCACCCCAGGGGCCAGAAATCACATAAAGCAGTCACAGGGGCCAGAAAATAACATATAGCTATCACAGGGGCCCGAAGTCAAAATAGCCATCACAGGGGCCAGAAGTCACATATAGCAGTCACAGGGGCCAGAAAATAACATATAGCTATCACAGGGGCCAGAAGTCACATATAGCAGTCACGGGGACCTAAGGTGACATGTATTTATACCAGTCGTTACATAATGCCATCACAGGGGCCAGAAGTCACATAAAGCTGTCACAGGGGCCTTAAATGACAAGTAGCTGGCACAGGGGCCTTAAATGACAAGTAGCTGGCACAGGGGCCTTAAATGACAAGTAGCTGGCACAGGGGCCTTAAATGACTTAGACCTTAAAGGGTTTTGTGACAATATAAGTAAGAAGGAGAAATGCTTCATACGTTTTGTACTGTGGTATCATTTCTACCCTTTCTACCCTACTGTAGTGTATGTAGTGGGGGTTGTCAGCAGGTCAGTCACTAGATGTACTTATATGTATTCAGGTAGACAACAGCAAGGAGACTCTCCGCTACTGTACATATATCAGGGTAATGTTAGTTCACTAAAGGGGTCATTTAAGGTCACTATAGGGGTCAAATAAGGTCACCAGTCACTTATTGACTGTCAAGATGAAGTTAGTATTGATGTCACCTTAAAGCTAGACTTATATGTATGTAAGAGGTGGACCAATACTGTCTGACACAGATTTATGTTGTGTAGGTAACTGTTCATGTCATCACAAACAGCGGATACATTAGGTGATGTAAGTACAGGGTGACAGCTTGTCGCCAGAGTACTGGGACACAGGTACATAAGTGAGGCCTTCTGTGTCTGTGGTTCTTATAACCAGGTTTACATGTGACACAGGTACAGAATATAAACAGAGGCCTTCTGTGTCTGTGGTTCTTATAACCAGGTTTACATGTGACACAGGTACAGAATATAAACAGAGGCCTTCTGTGTCTGTGGTTCTTATAACCAGGTTTACATGTGACACAGGTACAGAATATAAACAGAGGCCTTCTGTGTCTGTGGTTCTTATAACCAGGTTTACATGTGACACAGGTACAGAATATAAACAGAGGCCTTCTGTGTCTGTGGTTCTTATAACCAGGTTTACATGTGACACAGGTACAGAATATAAACAGAGGCCTTCTGTGTCTGTGGTTCTTATAACCAGGTTTACATGTGACACAGGTACAGAATATAAACAGAGGCCTTCTGTGTCTGTGGTTCTTATAACCAGGTTTACATGTGACACAGGTACAGAATATAAACAGAGGCCTTCTGTGTCTGTGGTTCTTATAACCAGGTTTACATGTGACACAGGTACAGAATATAAACAGAGGCCTTCTGTGTCTGTGGTTCTTATAACCAGGTTTACATGTGACACAGGTACAGAATATAAACAGAGGCCTTCTGTGTCTGTGGTTCTTATAACCAGGTTTACATGTGACACAGGTACAGAATATAAACAGAGGCCTTCTGTGTCTGTGGTTCTTATAACCAGGTTTACATGTGACACAGGTACAGAATATAAACAGAGGCCTTCTGTGTCTGTGGTTCTTATAACCAGGTTTACATGTGACACAGGTACAGAATATAAACAGAGGCCTTCTGTGTCTGTGGTTCTTATAACCAGGTTTACATGTGACACAGGTACAGAATATAAACAGAGGCCTTCTGTGTCTGTGGTTCTTATAACCAGGTTTACATGTGACACAGGTACAGAATATAAACAGAGGCCTTCTGTGTCTGTGGTTCTTATAACCAGGTTTACATGTGACACAGGTACAGAATATAAACAGAGGCCTTCTGTGTCTGTGGTTCTTATAACCAGGTTTACATGTGACACAGGTACAGAATATAAACAGAGGCCTTCTGTGTCTGTGGTTCTTATAACCAGGTTTACATGTGACACAGGTACAGAATATAAACAGAGGCCTTCTGTGTCTGTGGTTCTTATAACCAGGTTTACATGTGACACAGGTACAGAATATAAACAGAGGCCTTCTGTGTCTGTGGTTCTTATAACCAGGTTTACATGTGACACAGGTACAGAATATAAACAGAGGCCTTCTGTGTCTGTGGTTCTTATAACCAGGTTTACATGTGACACAGGTACAGAATATAAACAGAGGCCTTCTGTGTCTGTGGTTCTTATAACCAGGTTTACATGTGACACAGGTACAGAATATAAACAGAGGCCTTCTGTGTCTGTGGTTCTTATAACCAGGTTTACATGTGACACAGGTACAGAATATAAACAGAGGCCTTCTGTGTCTGTGGTTCTTATAACCAGGTTTACATGTGACACAGGTACAGAATATAAACAGAGGCCTTCTGTGTCTGTGGTTCTTATAACCAGGTTTACATGTGACACAGGTACAGAATATAAACAGAGGCCTTCTGTGTCTGTGGTTCTTATAACCAGGTTTACATGTGACACAGGTACAGAATATAAACAGAGGCCTTCTGTGTCTGTGGTTCTTATAACCAGGTTTACATGTGACACAGGTACAGAATATAAACAGAGGCCTTCTGTGTCTGTGGTTCTTATAACCAGGTTTACATGTGACACAGGTACAGAATATAAACAGAGGCCTTCTGTGTCTGTGGTTCTTATAACCAGGTTTACATGTGACACAGGTACAGAATATAAACAGAGGCCTTCTGTGTCTGTGGTTCTTATAACCAGGTTTACATGTGACACAGGTACAGAATATAAACAGAGGCCTTCTGTGTCTGTGGTTCTTATAACCAGGTTTACATGTGACACAGGTACAGAATATAAACAGAGGCCTTCTGTGTCTGTGGTTCTTATAACCAGGTTTACATGTGACACAGGTACAGAATATAAACAGAGGCCTTCTGTGTCTGTGGTTCTTATAACCAGGTTTACATGTGACACAGGTACAGAATATAAACAGAGGCCTTCTGTGTCTGTGGTTCTTATAACCAGGTTTACATGTGACACAGGTACAGAATATAAACAGAGGCCTTCTGTGTCTGTGGTTCTTATAACCAGGTTTACATGTGACACAGGTACAGAATATAAACAGAGGCCTTCTGTGTCTGTGGTTCTTATAACCAGGTTTACATGTGACACAGGTACAGAATATAAACAGAGGCCTTCTGTGTCTGTGGTTCTTATAACCAGGTTTACATGTGACACAGGTACAGAATATAAACAGAGGCCTTCTGTGTCTGTGGTTCTTATAACCAGGTTTACATGTGACACAGGTACAGAATATAAACAGAGGCCTTCTGTGTCTGTGGTTCTTATAACCAGGTTTACCTGTGACACAGGTACAGAATATAAACAGAGGCCTTCTGTGTCTGTAGTTCTTATGTACACTTTGTTGAGGGGACATTCAAATGTTATATTTATACGTAAACATAAAAGTATTTTTTCAAATAAATTATTCTCATATTTGATTTCTGATAAAACCTAATGTTTATGGAATCATTCTTGTGCTCAATTAGCTAAATTCTAAAACATTACGAAGTATCTGTATGAATCTGTATACCACTATGGAACCTTTATGTGATTGGTAATGAAACTATGATCTAGATCCCAGGGTTGCTTGTATTATAACTTAGATATAAACCACTTTTCTTTAAGGGGTTAGAAGCATTCATCCCAGTAAACACCACACAGAAAATGTAATTTTAGCATTATCTATGCTTGTGTATTGAAATTGTCATCATAGTCTGTAAAATACTTGTACACATGTAATAATTATGATCAAGGTCCTTCGTGTGCTTGTAAATTGTAAGTTTGATATAGGTTCCAAACAAGCCCCTAAATATGCTGGTATCATGTTACTATGATCATATGTTCCGATGTGCTGGTATCATGTTACTATGATCATAGGTTCCTATGTGCTGGTATCATGTTACTATGATCATATGTTCCGATGTGCTGGTATCATGTTACTATGATCATAGGCTCCTATGTGCTGGTATCATGTTACTATGATCATATGTTCCGATGTGCCGGTATCATGTTACTATGATCATAGGTTCCTATTTGCTGGTATCATGTTACTATGATCATAGGTTCATATGTGCTGGGATCATGTTACTATGATCATAGGTTCCTATGTGCTGGCATCATGTTACTATGATCGTAGGTTCCTATGTGCTAGTATCATGTTACTATGATCGTAGGTTCCGTTGTGCTTGTATCATGTTACTATGATCATAGGTTCCTATTTGCTGGTATCATGTTACTATGATCGTAGGTTCCTATGTGCTGGTATCATGTTACTATGATCGTAGGTTCCGTTGTGCTGGTATCATGTTACTATGATCATAGGTTCCTATGTGCTGGTACCATGTCACTATGATCATAGGTTCCTATGTGCTGGTATCATGTTACTATGATCGTAGGTTCCTATGTGCTGGTATGGTAGGATTTTGATCCAGGTCCTAGAAGTATGTCCTAACTTAGATCTACCTGCCTGATACAGCTGTGTTGCTGGGAGGGTGTTTGAACTGATCTTTAACTGCTCAGTTGTAATATAGCTATGTGCTAAGTATAATTTGTGTTCTATTTTTGTATCAGATTCACGAGGCTATAGAGGATGGGGAAGATCTGAGGCGACAGCTCACAGCAGCCAAGAAAAAGTCGTCCAGGCTCGCCACAGAGATGCAGGACATAAAGCTCCACCTGGAGGAACAGATCACCAGGAACAATGAACTGGAGCGAAAGCAACGCAGGTAAGTTCAAGGTCATTTGTGAATCGAAAGTTCAAGGTCATTTGTGTGCTGCACAGGTGTAAAGACAAAGTTGTGTATATACTGCATAGGTAAGGTCAAGGTTGTATGTTCTGCACAGAAAGGTTAAGGTCATGTGTGATGACCATAGGTTATGTGGGACCTTGATTTGACATAGGAAAAATATATTACAAACCAAACAGTTATTCTTGAAAAATCATGAAAGTTCCAAAAGTTTACATTTATATGAAACATATATTTTGTTTGAGCGTATATTATCCCAGGATTTAAGTATTAGTGTTTTACAAACCGGAGTTGAATATTAGTTATATATCTTTTCCTAATCTTGACTCTGATTTTCTAGCATCCAGTTGGTGCTTTTCTGGTCAGTGCTAATAGTTTATATTTTACAGGTTTGACACAGAGCTAAGTAAGGCCAGTGATGAAAGCAAGGATGAGCGAATCAGTCGGGAAAAGTTACAGCGTGAAAAGGACCAACTGACCACTGAGCTGTACACAAAAGATCAAGAGATAGAGGTCAGTTAGTGACCACATTGACTGGTCATAATGTAGCCTCACACTTCCCTATTACTGATAAAATATATAAGTAGGACAGCCTACTCTCTTCTGGACAAATTTAATACATACCTAGGGTATCAAACACACCCTTTTATCATTGACCTAGAGAGGTCAATGATATACATAACTAGAGAGGTCAATGGTATTCATAACTAGAGAGTTCAATGATATACATAACTAGAGAGGTCAATGATATACATAACTAGAGAGGTCAATGATATACATAACTAGCAGAGAGGTCAATGATATACATAACTAGAGAGGTCAATGATATACATAACTAGCAGAGAGGTCAATGATATACATAACTAGCAGAGAGGTCAATGATATACATAACTAGAGAGGTCAATGATATACATAACTAGAGAGGTCAATGATATACATAACTAGAGAGGTCAATGATATACATAACTAGAGAGGTCAATGATATACATAACTAGAGAGGTCAATGATATACATAACTAGAGAGGTCAATGATATACATAACTAGAGAGGTCAATGATATACATAACTAGAGAGGTCAATGATATACATAACTAGAGAGGTCAATGATATACATAACTAGAGAGGTCAATGATATACATAACTAGAGAGGTCAATGATATACATAACTAGAGAGGTCAATGATATACATAACTAGAGAGGTCAATGATATACATAACTAGAGAGGTCAATGATATACATAACTAGAGAGGTCAATGATATACATAACTAGAGAGGTCAATGATATACATAACTAGAGAGGTCAATGATATACATAACTAGAGAGGTCAATGATATACATAACTAGAGAGGTCAATGATATACATAACTAGAGAGGTCAATGATATACATAACTAGAGAGGTCAATGATATACATAACTAGAGAGGTCAATGATATACATAACTAGAGAGGTCAATGATATACATAACTAGAGAGGTCAATGATATACATAACTAGAGAGGTCAATGATATACATAACTAGAGAGGTCAATGATATACATAACTAGAGAGGTCAATGATATACATAACTAGAGAGGTCAATGATATACATAACTAGAGAGGTCAATGATATACATAACTAGAGAGGTCAATGATATACATAACTAGAGAGGTCAATGATATACATAACTAGAGAGGTCAATGATATACATAACTAGAGAGGTCAATGATATACATAACTAGAGAAGCCAATGATATACATAACTAGCAGAGAGGTCAATGATATACATAACTAGAGAGGTCAATGATATACATAACTAGAGAAGCCAATGATATACATACCTAGCAGAGAGGTCAATGATATAAATAACTAGAGTCTTTTTTATTAACATGTCAAGAAAATTTCAATGTTCACTCGTTTTTATTACAGAGACTTAAACTTGATCTGGAGTCGCAGACAGACAAGGCGAGTCGTTTGGACCGCGAGCTATTAGACATGAGTCTGACAAGTACCAAGGGTACAGATAAGGAGGTTAGTATTACTGTCACACAGAGAGGTGTTATGTGAAACAGATATGTAATGTGAAACATGTACAGTAATCTGCTTAATGTGAAAATTGTAATGTGACACTTAAACTGTAACACTTGTAATTTGGTAGGTAATGATGTATTAAAATTCAATATTCATATCTAACACAATTATGTTTGTTGAAAGTTTATTAAAAGTTATCAGTATCTAAAGATGGGAAGCATAAGAGAAAAAAAATTGGGTGTTGAGGTGGAAATGTAAGGCGCGGCGTCCGTCCGTCAACTTTAAAACACTACTTGTCCTGAACGGCCCAATAGATTTTGACTAAATTTGGTCTGGAGCACCCTTGGGCAAAGGACTCTCAATTTTGTATAACCGGTGGATGTAGCCCCCCTGGGGGCAGAGGGGCGGGGCTCAATAGGGGAAATAGAGGTAAAATCTTGAAATGCCTTCTTCTTTCGTACGAATAAAGGGATTTTTTACAAATTTAGTCTGGAGCATCCTTGGGCCAAGGGGACTAAATTTTGTATAAACGATGGGTGTTGCCCTCCTGGGGGCAGAGGGATGGGGCTGAATAGGGAAAATACAAGGTTTAAATCTTTAAAATCCTTCTCCTTCTGTACCATTGGAGGGATTTTTTCCATATTTGACCTTGAGTATCCTTTGGCAAAGGGGACTCAATTTTGTATAAATGGAGGGTATAGTCCCTATGGGTGCAGAGTTGTGGGGCCTAATAGGGGAATTTGAGGTTTAAGTCTTCAAAATCCTTTTTCCTCTGCATCATTTGAGGGATTTCATCCACATTTGACCTGGAGCATCCTTGGGTGAAGGGGAAGACAATTTGTATAAATGGAGGGTGTAGCCCCTTGGGTGCACAGTTGCGGGGCCCAATAGGGATATTTGAGGTTGAAATCTTAAAAATCCTCCTTCTGCTGAACCATTAGAGGTATTTTATGTAACAGAAATATTTTCCCATGGTTGCTTTAGTTGCAGGTGATTGATAAGGCTCTCTGGGCCTCTTGTTTTAATCTGAAAAGAAACTAACTTGAGTTATATAGATATGATAGGTAACTGTTACCTGTGGTGGGACCTCTATATAACTACCTGGTATGTTGTATTGAGATATATCACGCCTGCCTTGTGTTGTTGAAGGTGATGTCCCTGAAGAAGTCTAAACACGAGATGGAGATCAAGTTGAAGGACCAGGAGGAAGAACTTGATGACCAGGCGGGTCAGATACAACAATTAGAACAGGTAACCATAGAGACTCTACATTCTGATCGCTGATTGGTTTATATCGGCCTGTTATTATACTAGCCAATTGTGTAAATAATCAGAATTAAAAAAATAAAAAATAAAAAAGGCAAAGGACAAAGAAGTTTCCTTTTTGGTGAATTTAAAAAAAAAAAAATCATGGAAAATACATGAAAAGTTTGGAGGCACTGTTATCATGCTATTTTTTTTTCATTTTTTTTCCACAGACAAAGACAAGGTTAGAGATGAACCTGGAGCGATTACGACAGACACACATCAAGGAATTAGAGGAAAAGGAGGAGGAGATGCAGGAAAATAGATACGCCACGCAGAAAAAGGTAAGTTATAGTCGGGAGAGAGGGGGAGGATAGATACGCCACGCAGAAAAAGGCAAGTTATAGTCGGGAGAGAGGGGTAGGATAAATAAGCCACGCAGAAAAAGGAAAGTTATAGTCAGGAGAGAGGGGTAGGATAGATACGCCATGCAGAAAAAGGTAAGTTATTGTCGGGAGAGAGGGGGAGGATAGATACGCCCCGCAGAAAAAGGGAAGTTATTGTCGGGAGAGAGGGGTAGGATAGATACGCCAGATACGCCACACAGAAAAAGGTAAGTTATTGTCGGGAGCGAGGGGTAGGATAGATACGCCACACAAAAAAAGGTAAGTTATAGTCGGGAGAGAGGGGTAGGATAAATACGCCACGCAGAAAAAGGGAAGTTATTGTCGGGAGAGAGGGGTAGGATAGAAACGCCACGCAGAAAAAGGTAAGTTATAGTCAGGAGAGAGGGGAAGGATAGATACGCAACGCAGAAAAAGGCAAGTTATTGTCGGGAGAGAGTGGTAGGATAAATACGCCCCGCAGAAAAAGGTAAGTTATAGTCAGGAGAGAGGGGGAGGATAGATACGCCCCGCAGAAAAAGGGAAGTTATTGTCGGGAGAGAGGGGTAGGATAGATACGCCACACAGAAAAAGGTAAGTTATAGTCGGGAGAGAGTGGTAGGATAAATACGCCACGCAGAAAAAGGTAAGTTATAGTCAGGAGAGAGGGGTAGGATAGATACGCCACGCAGAAAAAGGTAAGTTATAGTCAGGAGAGAGGGGTAGGATAGATACGCCACGCAGAAAAAGGTAAGTTATAGTCGGGAGAGAGGGGTAGGATAGATACGCCACGCAGAAAAAGGTAAGTTATTGTCGGGAGAGAGGGGTAGGATAGATACGCCACGCAGAAAAAGGTAAGTTATAGTCGGGAGAGAGGGGTAGGATAGATACGCCACGCAGAAAAAGGTAAGTTATAGTCGGGAGAGAGGGGTAGGATAGATACGCCACGCAGAAAAAGGTAAGTTATAGTCGGGAGAGAGGGGTAGGATAGATACGCCACGCAGAAAAAGGTAAGTTATAGTCGGGAGAGAGGGGTAGGATAGATACGCCACGCAGAAAAAGGTAAGTTATAGTCGGGAGAGAGGGGTAGGATAGATACGCCACGCAGAAAAAGGTAAGTTATAGTCGGGAGAGAGGGGTAGGATAGATACGCCACGCAGAAAAAGGTAAGTTATAGTCGGGAGAGAGGGGTAGGATAGATACGCCACGCAGAAAAAGGTAAGTTATAGTCGGGAGAGAGGGGTAGGATAGATACGCCACGCAGAAAAAGGTAAGTTATAGTCGGGAGAGAGGGGTAGGATAGATACGCCACGCAGAAAAAGGTAAGTTATAGTCGGGAGAGAGGGGTAGGATAGATACGCCACGCAGAAAAAGGTAAGTTATAGTCGGGAGAGAGGGGTAGGATAGATACGCCACGCAGAAAAAGGTAAGTTATAGTCGGGAGAGAGGGGTAGGATAGATACGCCACGCAGAAAAAGGCAAGTTATAGTCAGGAGAGAGGGGTAGGATAGATACGCCACGCAGAAAAAGGCAAGTTATAGTCAGGAGAGCAGGGTAGGGAAGACGTGGAAGAGGATAAATACGCCACGCAGAAAAAGGTAAGTTATAGTTGGGAGAGAGGGGTAGGGAAGACGTGGGGGAGGATAGATACGCCACGCAGAAAAAGGTAAGTTATAGTCGGGAGAGAGGGGTGGGGGGAGGATAGATAAGCCACGCAGAAAAAGGTAAGTTATAGTCGGGAGAGAGGGGTGGGGGGAGGATAGATACGCCACGCAGAAAAAGGTTATTTATAGTGGGGAGAGTGGGGTAGGGAAGATGTGGAGGAGGATAGATACGCCACGCAGAAAAAGGTATGTTATAGTCGGGAGAGCGGGGTAGGGGAGACGTAGAGGAGGATAGATACGCCACGCAGAAAAGGGTAGTTATAGTATAGAAAGCGGGGTAGGGGAGACTTGGAGGAGGATAGCAACTCTATGCAGAAAAAGTTTGGTTCTTGTTGGGAAAGTGAGGAAGGGGAGGGAGAGCAGATTTAGAGTAGAGGTGAACGGTGTAAATGGGATTATAGATTTGTCAGTCTGACAAAATAAAGTTTTAATATTGCAAGAGTGTATTGAATGTTTTATGAGTGTAATTTGTCTTACAGCTAAAACACATGGAGAGCCAGATGGAAGAGGAATATGAGGACAAGAAACGAATGCAGACAGAAAAACGAGACATAGAGAGACAGCTTCAGGAGATCAACGCAAGCAAGTTACACCAAGACAAAGGTCAGAGTTCACGAAGGGACAAAAGTATAAATATATAATAGAATGATAACAGGTTGTATAAGGGCAAAGTTCAAACAAGATAAAGGTCAGCCACAGAGGTCATATATAGACTAGTAAAACTGTATCACATTACAACAAATGTCTCTTTGTGACAAGGCAGTACATGTACGACCCTTTATGATCTGTAGATGGTTATGTGTACGATCCTTTATGATCTGTAGATGGTTATGTATATGATCCTTTATAATCTGTAGACGGTTATGTGTACGACCCTTTATGTGATCTGTAGATGGTTATGTGTACGATCCTTTATGATCTGTAGATGGTTATGTATATGATCCTTTATAATCTGTAGACGGTTATGTGTACGACCCTTTATGTGATCTGTAGATGGTTATGTGTACGATCCTTTATGATCAGTAGATGGTTATGTATATGATCCTTTATGATCTGTAGATGGTTATGTGTACGGTCCTTTATGATCTGTAGATGGAGAGAAACGTGTGAGACTAGAGCTGAGGAAGACTAAGGCCTTGCTCCGTGATGCTGAGACGGTCCTTCAAAAGATGAGGGGCTCGGAGGGAACCAAAACAATCATCAAACAGCTTAGGAACAGGGTAAGAACAGGAATGTTACCCCTTAAGATTCAGGAAAAAATAGGCCTTCCATGTCTAACATGTATGTTATCTTCTGCTTAGGGTTCATTGAAAAAAAAAAAAAATTGGTTTGCTTCCTCCATTGTAAGATCTTTGTTGTTTCTTTTCTCAATTTCCTACTCTTTTTTTTTTTTGTGTCCCTTTTGCGTCTGTCTCTGTATGACCTTAGGAAGTTAAACTACAATCAAACGACTAACAGTGCAATATTTAATCAAATTGTTGAGACGTTTGAAGAACATTTTGATGATAATATAAGAGGTCAAGATCAACAAAGTCGAGATGATTTGGTTAAAATTTTGAAATCATATTCTACTTTTGCTGTTCTTTTTTCTGGTTTTTGATAACAATAATTATGTTTAGGTATATTAACTTGTCATGGACTCTTCGGGTTTTTTATGAGCAGCTTGAAGATTCAGAATTTGCTGCAGCAACAGCCGTCAAAGCCAAAAAGACGATGGAGCTAGAGATACAGGATCTTCAACAACAGCTGGACGATCTGTTCAAAACCAAAACAGAGGTACAGAAACAGGGTCACATAAAAACACTTACAGTTTCTTTCCTTTGTCAGAAATATGCATCAAATTTTCAAACCTGTAAGATTTTATTAACTATGAGTATCATAAGTTCACGTTTTGATGATTTTCTCATCACTTCCTCTGCAGATTGATAGAGATGATTTGTATTTTCGACAGGGAGACAACAAAGCCATGGTGCTGATGAGAGAGAAGTCAGACTTACAGAGCCAGCTCGAGGAGAATGAGGAAGACATGAATGATGTCATGAAAAAATACAAAGCCATCGTACACCAAGTAAGTATGTCAAATACAAAGCCATCTTACACCAAGTAAGTCAAGTACAAAACCATCGTTCACCAAGTAAGTCAAATACAAAGCCATCGTTCACCAAGTAAGTCAAATACAAAGCCATCGTACACCAAGTAAGTCAAATACAAAGCCATCGTACACCAAGTAAGTATGTCAAATACAAAGCCATCTTACACCAAGTAAGTCAAATACAAAACCATTGTACACCAAGTAAGTCAAACACAAAACCATTGTACACCAAGTAAGTCAAATACAAAACCATCGTTCACCAAGTAAGTCAAATACAAAGCCATTGTACACCAAGTAAGTCAAATACAAACCCATCGTTCACCAAGTAAGTCAAATACAAATACATCTTTCACCAAGTAAGTAAGTCAAATACAAAACCATCGTTCACTAAGTAAGTCAAATACAAATACATCGTTCGCCAAGTAAGTCAAATACAAATACATCGTTCACCAAGGAAGTCAAATACAAAACCATCGTTCACCAAGTAAGTCAAGTACAAATACATCGTTCACCAAGTAAGTAAGTCAAATACAAAACCATCGTTCACCAAGTAAGTCAAATACAAAGACATCGTACACCAAGTAAGTCAAATACAAAGCCATCGTTCACCAAGTAAGTCAAATACAAAGCCATCGAACACCAAGTAAGTATGTCAAATACAAAGCCATCTTACATCAAGTAAGTCAAATACAAAACCATCGTTCACTAAGTAAGTCAAATACAAATACATCGTTCACCAAGTAAGTAAGTCAAATACAAAACCATCGTACACCAAGTAAGTCAAATACAAAACCATTGTACACCAAGTAAGTCAAATACAAAACCATCTTTCATCAAGTAAGTCAAATACAAAACCATCGTTCACCAAGTAAGTCAAGTACAAATACATCGTTCACCAAGTAAGTCAAACACAAAACCATCGTACACCAAGTAAGTCAAATACAAAACCATCGTTCACCAAGTAAGTCAAATACAAATACATCGTTCACCAAGTAAGTCAAATACAAAACCATCTTTCATCAAGTAAGTCAAATACAAAACCATCGTTCACCAAGTAAGAGTGTCAATTAAGTAGATAAAAACTGTAAATCTGCAGGGTTACCAAATGTGTACAGTGGCTAGTTCAATGAGCAGTGGTTCTGTGAGATTATCAAATGTATACCTAAAAAGTATTTAAAGAAAAATAAAAAAAATTGAGCCATTAGTTTCTTTGGAGATTTACGAACAACATCAATTTTTCTTACATTCGGAAAGCCATTTTTGTTTTTGTTGTTGGTTTTTTTAATTTCTTTCTTTCACAACCATTTGTTGATAACCTTGTAAGGGGATTTCAAATATTTTGTTAACTGTTTGTGAAATTTTATTTCCAAGGCAAATTGATATACTGATAAAATGTGAATAAGATGAAAATGTGCCTTTTCAATACCCTGTGATTTATGTCTGTATGTCAATCTGTCTACAGCAATCGGTGGACCAGGTAACGGTATCCGACCAACTTCAACAGATCGATGAACTGTCAACAGAAAGGGAAAAACTAAGACTGGAGGTAGGTCTTTCACTCAATTAGTCCAAGTTTGACACAGTTACTTCCCCTGAGTGTTATGATAACCAGTTGTGAACCAGGAAATCATCTGCAAACTAACAAAGATTTTGTAAAACTACCAGAAGTGTTCCTGTTAGCTGACTGTGATCCAGCCTTAAACATCACTGTTTCTCTTTTCACATTTTGTTGAATTATTTATAATGAATAATATGATCATAAATTTTGCTCAATAAATGACACTCTGCATTTTCTTACTTTTTGTTACATATCATATAAAATGTTTACTGTGTCAAATGACATGTAACATTGTGTCACATGACATATGACATGTTGTCTGGCATGACATGGTTTGTATGTCACATGACATGTAACATTGTATCCCATGACATACAATCTGTTGTTTGGTATAACATGACATGGTTTGTATGTCACATGACATGTAACATTGTATCTCATGACATACAATCTGTTGTTTGGTATAACATGGCATGGTTTGTATGTCACATGACATGTAACATTGTATCCCATGACATACATTCTGTTGTTTGGTATAACATGACATGGTCTTTATGTCACATGGCATGGAACATTGTATCCCATGACATACAATCTGTTGTTTGGTATAACATGACATGGTTTGTATGTCACATGACATGTAACATTTTATCCCATGACATACAATCTGTTGTTTGGTATAACATGGCATGGTTTGTATGTCACATGACATGTAACATTGTATCCCATGACATACAATCTGTTGTTTGATATAACATGACATGGCCTTTATGTAACATGGCATGTAACATTGTATCCCATGACATACAATCTGTTGTTTGATATAACATGACATGGCCTTTATGTCACATGGCATGTAACATTGTATCCCATGACATACAATCTGTTGTTTGATATAACATGACATGGCCTTTATGTCACATGGCATGTAACATTGTATCACATGACATACAATCTGTTGTTTGGTATAACATGACATGGTCTTTATGTCACATGACATAATGGGTTTGCTGTGTATACTTGCCAGGTGGCTGAACTTCAAATGAAGGTCCAAGGGTTTGAGGACACAAGTGTGGACAAGAACACAGTACAACGACTGGAGAGTAAGATACGTGACCTTGAAAACAGACTTGACCTTGAGCAGACAGCTAAACACAGAGTAGAGGTGGGTAACTGTGATCATATACATGGAACAAATTGAAGTGAATAAGATTTTTCTTTATTCCTAATTTAGACAGATTCATTCTCATTGGCATGTATTCAACAAAGTTCTATTTAGAAGCATATTAATGAAGGTGAACTCTTATTATGATATTACATTTATCTATTCTGACTTGTTTTGATTTATGCATTAAATGTAACCTTGACCTTCAGGTTCAGTTGACTCGTACCAAAGAGGCTTTTGATAAATCTTTGGAGGAGAAGCGACTTGCAACAACATCAAAACAACAGATTGACGAGAATCTGAAGAGAACACAGCGCCAGCTTCGTGACCAACGTGAGGAGTTTTCTGATGCACAGAAACGTGAATTAGAGAGCTCGCAAAAGAGCAAGGAACTGGAGAACAAGGTATCTGAGCTTGAGTCTGACCACGAACAGAACCAGTCTGATCTCAAACTCGCCTTCAAGAGAATAGCGGACCTACAGGCGGCTCTAGAGGAGGACCTGGACAGTGGCGACAGCCTCCTCGGCTCGGATGATGAGTAAGTCAGGGGCTCCTTACCCTAACACTATCCTCACAATGCATTTAATTGACATTTTATTCAAAGTTCATCGTTAAAGTAGTCAAAGTTCATCGGTGAAGTAGTCAATGTTCATCGGTGAAGTAGTCCATGTTCATGGGTAAAGTAGTCAATGTTCATGGGTAAAGTAGTCAACGTTAATAGGTGAAATAGTCAATGTTCATGGGTAAAGAAGTCAAAGTTCATCGGTAAAGTAGTCAAAGTTCATCGGTGAAGTAGTCAATGTTCATGGGTGAAGTAGTCAACGTTAATCGGTGAAATAGTCAATGTTCATGGGTAAAGAAGTCAAAGTTCATCGGTAAAGTAGTCAAAGTTCATCGATGAAGTAGTCAATGTTCATCGGTGAAGTAGTCAAAGGTCATAGGTAAAGTAGTCACTGTTCATCGGTAAAGTAGTCAATGTTCATCGGTGAAGTTGTCCATGTTCATCGGTAAAGTAGTCAACGTTCATGGGTAAAGTAGTCAATGTTCATCGGTAAAGTAGTCAAAGTTCATCGGTAAAGTAGTCAACGTTCATCGGTAAAGTAGTCAATGTTCATCGCTAAAGTAGTCAAAGTTCATCAGTAAAGTAGTCAATGTTCATCGCTAAAGTAGTCAATGTTCATCGGTGAAGTAGTCAAAGTTCATCGGTAAAGTAGTCAAAGTTCATCGGTAAAGTAGTCAATGTTCATGGGTGAAGTAGTCAACGTTAATCGGTGAAATAGTCAATGTTCATGGGTAAAGAAGTCAAAGTTCATCGGTGAAGTAGTCAATGTTCATCAGTAAAGTAGTCCATGTTCATGGGTAAAGTAGTCAACGTTCATCGGTAAAGTAGTCCATGTTCATCGGTAAAGTAGTCAATGTTCATCGGTGAAGTAGTCCATGTTCATCGGTAAAGTAGTCCATGTTCATCGGTGAAGTAGTCCATGTTCATCGGTAAAGTAGTCAACGTTCATGGGTAAAGTAGTCCATGTTCATCGGTAAAGTAGTCAATGTTCATGGGTAAAGTAGTCAATGTTCATCGGTGAAGTAGTCAATGTTCATCGGTAAAGTAGTCAACGTTCATCGGTGAAGTAGTCAATGTTCATCGGTAAAGTAGTCAACGTTCATCGGTAAAGTAGTCCATGTTCATCGGTAAAGTAGTCAATGTTCATCGGTGAAGTAGTCCATGTTCATGGGTAAAGTAGTCAATGTTCATCGGTGAAGTAGTCCATGTTCATGGGTAAAGTAGTCAATGTTCATCGGTGAAGTAGTCCATGTTCATGGGTAAAGTAGTCAATGTTCATCGGTGAAGTAGTCCATGTTCATGGGTAAAGTAGTCAATGTTCATCGGTGAAGTAGTCCATGTTCATGGGTAAAGTAGTCAATGTTCATCGGTGAAGTAGTCCATGTTCATGGGTAAAGTAGTCAATGTTCATGGGTAAAGTAGTCCATGTTCATCGGTAAAGTAGTCAATGTTCATGGGTAAAGTAGTCAATGTTCATGGGTAAAGTAGTCAATGTTCATCGGTAAAGTAGTCAATGTTCATCAGTAAAGTAGTCAATGTTCATCGGTAAAGTAGTCAAAGTTCATCGGTAAAGTAGTCAATGTTCATCGGTAAAGGGTATATTCACTGCAAGCGACTGAATTAGGTTGTTTTCTTCAAATACGCTAGTTTTGTCTATATAATTTGTATATAATTTTCAACATTCATTATTTCTTGAAGTTTTGCATTTGTTGGACTGTTAGTTTTTTACCATTGAACTTTTATAATTTATTTTTCTCTTACTTTTATTGATTGATTGTAGTACCACCCTGATATTAAGTGAGTCATGTGCTAAATATTTGTTCATTATTTTGGAAAAATATTCAATATTAAACATTCAAAACTGCATCTTTGGGGCTGCGGTGGCCAAGTGGTTAAGGCGTCTGACATTCTGCTACCACCAGCCCTCCACCACTGGGTCGTGGGTCTGAGACCTATGCGGGGCAGTCGCCAGGTACTGGCCATAGGTCGGTTGTTGTTTTCCTCCAGGAACTTCGGCTTTCCTTCACCAAAAAAACCTGGCACGTCCTTAAATGACCATAGGATGTAAAACACAAACAAACCAGACCAATCCTAGCTTTTCCTTACTTATAATGTTTTGATACTTTTGATAGTATTTCAATTATAACAACATTTTCATGTTGACAATTTCATTCTGTTTACAGTGAGGATTCCGATGCTGATTCTGATCTAGATTCCATGTATTTAACCAATCACAGGCCTCCGTCATTAATACGTCACCATGGTCTTGGCAGTCCACGTTCCAGTTCTCATTCCGCAGCCAGTAGTTTAGGCAGTCCCAGGTCACCTAGTGTGTCCGAGTCGTCAAGTAAGTTCAAGTTATCTACATTAAGTGTGTCCGAGTCATTGAGTAGGTTCTCATCAAGTGTGCATTATTTAAAGGAAGGGAGGCAACTCACATAGAACCAGTAGTTTTCATCTGAAATTAACATCATAAGCATGCTCATTAAAAAATGTAAAAGAAAAAATGGTAAGTGATTTTAGTTCTATTTTTCATGTGCAATATTTCAATTTTATAAAAACGATTTTTGTGCTTGCAGGTCATGCGTGACAGTAACTAAGGGAGTCTGAGGGCTATGTGCAAACCTTCCAGCTTCATCTCAGCTTGAGTGAAGTGGAAGAATTCAAAGGTCAGCACAGGTCAAGGGTCAATCTCCTCAAGGTTACCTGCTTGTGGATATAAAATAGTTCCTGACCTGGACATGGAAAATGGCTACTTAACTGTGATATAGAGATGATCTAATGGACGGGTAGATATTTTACCTGGCTCTAGTATTTGATGTCACCGTGGATGATACCTGTAAGTGCTCCGTCTAATAAACAGACAGGAAGTCATGTGATACAGACTTAACATCTGTGATTGGTCAAGATTTACCTGCAAACTTCTTGACTAATGATTGTCAAAATTATGAGTGAGATTTGGATTTATTGCAAAAGTTGTAACTCCTGAAGTGGGGTTACTTGCCTGTAAAGTGAACAATTACCTGGATAAGGTGATTACCTGGATAAAATGTTAACCTGCATAAGGTGTTTACCTGCACAGTAAACTACCTGGAATAGAAGATTAGCAGGAAAGTTTCAACCACTCTTGGCATGGGAAAATCCCATGTTAAATACCACAGCCACAATAAATTGCTTTCACATGGACATTAGTCCTTCTAACGGATCATCTACGAGTCAATGTCTGTGTGGCGTTACTCATGTCTACTTACACAATGTTAACATATCTGTCAAATCCTGCCAGGTAGGACACCAACTCGTGATCGGTCCACTCCAGGAGCTGAAGGAAGACATTTCGTCAGGACATGGTAGACCAGAAATAGCATATGCAAGTCCTTTATCTGTGTTCAAGGATTTCTTGTCTTGCCCTGTCTATCAACTTTAGGAGGTTTCTTCTTATCCAGTGGGTTTGAAACACCCCAACAATAAGAGATTCATTTTGCATAACTGCTTTTAGGATATAACATTTAGCAATTATTTAAGATTCCCCTTTTAAATACCAGGGGTTTTTACAACAATGTGCCTTCCTTAAGCACAAAAACTTGCCGTTCTCCCTGAAGGTTGTTACCTTCCTGTAGTAGTGACCTTCCTGTGGACAGGCTGTGGACAGAAAAGATTTCCAGGGAGCCATGTTTCTGGCATCTGTTTTGCCAAATTTACTATTTGTGTAGAACATGTACTATGATCTCGATGTGACATGTAATGTGTGGGCTCTTAGAGTCTGTGGCCTGTAGTATCACGTGACTAACAGTAAGTGCTATAGAGAATTGTAAGTTTAGGTTGTAGTTGACTTGGGACCAATCTGTTTCCTAAGCATCTTACCTGTTGCATGTTTTAGTTAGATAGTTCATGTTTTACTGTCAACCAATAGTTCAAATAATATATGAAGTTAACTATGAAGTTGTCTAATCCAAAAAAATCAAATATAGTCTAAAAGAAGTTACCAAAATATTTGTTTAATAATGAAGAAAAAATATAATTATCATGATGGATGACATGTGTTTAAACATAATCCCAATGTAATGGTTTGTACCAGATATAATGGTATTTACCAGTGTAATGGTTGTACCAGATATAATGGTATTTACCAGTGTTGGGGTTTGTACCAGATATAATGGTATTTGTCAGTGTAATGGTTTGTACCAGATATAATGGTATTTGTCAGTGTAATGGTTTGTACCAGATATAATGGTATTTACCAGTGTAATGGTTGTACCAGATAAATGGTATTTACCAGTATAATGGTTTGTACCAGATATAATGGTATTTATCAGTGTTGGGGTTTGTACCAGATATAATGGTATTTATCAGTGTAATGGTTGTACCAGATATAATGGTATTTACCAGTGTAATGGTTGTACCAGATATAATGGTATTTACCAGGGTAAGGGTTGTACCAGATAAATGGTATTTTCCAGTATAATGGTTTGTACCATATATAATGGTATTTGTCAGTGTAATGGTTTGTACCAAATATAATGGTATTTACCAGGGTAAGGGTTGTACCAGATATAATGGGATTTACCGGTGTAATGGTTGTACCAGATAAATGGTATTTACCAGTATAATGGGTTGTACCAGATATAATGGTATTTACCAGTGTAATGGTTTGTACCAGCTATAATGGTATTGATCAGTGTTGGGGTTTGTACCAGATATAATGGTATTTATCAGTGTAATGGTTTGTACCAGCTATAATGGTATTTATCAGTGTAATGGTTGTACCAGATATAATGGTATTTACCAGTTTAATGGTTTGTACCAGCTATAATGGTATTTATCAGTGTAATGATTGTACCAGATATAATGGTATTTATCAGTGTAATGTTTTGTACCAGATATAATGTTATTTATCAGTGTAATGTTTTGTACCAGATATAATGCTATTTACCAGTTTAATGTTTTGTACCAGCTATAATGGTTTTGATCAGTGTTGGGGTTTGTAACAGATATAATGGTATTTACCAGTGTAATGTTTTGTACCAGATATAATGTTATTTATCAGTGTAATGGTTTGTACCCGATATAATGGTATTTACCAGTGTAATTGTTTGTACCAGATATAATGGTATTTACCAGTGTAATGGTTTGTACCAGATATAATGGTATTTATCAGTGTTGGGGTATATGCGTAGTACTGCTTGCCTGACCGCCTTTCTTACTGCCCTGCTTAACACTAGCCAGACATCCAACTAACACTCCAACAGTTGAATGTAGCCTCAAGGAAGATTCTTAGATTTTTTAATTTTCCAGAAATAGTTAAACCCAATTCATTTGAATTCATGACTTGACAGTAACTTATAGATTCTTGATAGGAATGCTTGGTTAAGTATGCTGATTAACAAAATTTCACTGTATACAAATCACCTTATTAAAAAGGAATAACTAAAATGCAACAAGTTGGTCTTGCAAGGTACTTGTATATCATAGTGTATAAAAAAAACTTGATGACCCATAATTACTCTTTATAATTCAAATATATATCTTACTAATATTTGACCCTGTCCTCTTGGTCATTCAAATGTTTGACACTGTCCTCTTGGTCATTCAAATGTTTGACACTAGCTGTCCTCTTGGCCGTTCAAGTGTTTCACTTTGTCCTCTTGGTCATTCAGATGTTTCACATTGACATCTTGCTCAGTCGAATGTTTGTATTGCTTTATTGAGGAAGATGAGAAAGACTGACCCTAGAATGGTCCAATGCCAGTGTATTGTGAAGGCAGTTAACCAGATTCTCTATATATTATAAAAGTTAATATATTTTTAGTAAAACTTAAAACATTTTATTCAGTTTCATAACTTTTCATTACTTATTCATACATAATATCAAAATAATGATTTTAATTCAAATATATTGTTGTAAAAGATGGCAAAAGATTTTATCTGAGGAGTTTCTAAACACTGTTATGCTCATCTGTTATTCTGTTTAAATGAAATTTGATATCAGAGCTTTATGTTTGAATATACAGTATGTAATGTTAATATTGTGTTCTAGCTTTACAGAGAGGGTACTTTTGCTAACTAATTTGGTGGCTATATAGAGAGATTATATTTGTTTATATTATTCTAAATTTATTATATATCAATCTATACTACCTGAACAAAGGTAAGATATAAAGTATATCTTCAATGACACACACCTCAGTTTAGTGTAGTGAAGAATTATATTAATTGATTCAAATGTGAAACCCAAATAAATGGGAATCTGTAATCATTTTACAGATATCACCAGTCAGATACCATGGCTATTTTTGTTCATATGATAATGAGATAAAAGGGGTTTTCCCCCAAAAATAATGTTCAATGATCTAAATGACTGAATGATTCTTGTGTTTACACATCAAGTTTATTATGATTTGAGTTTAAAAAAATATTGCATTATTATACTTTAGTTGGTTCTACAGGTATGAATGGGTTAAAAAAATCATGAATATTAATTCCAGTAAAATCAGCCAATCACAAACCCTGTGTCTTTTCACGATATCTCCTTGCTATCTGAGAGGTGGAGGCATTTGATTGGCTGCTGTTGTAGAATATTTAATGTGTGTCGACATTCAGCTTTCTTTAATCATTGGACACAAAGTGTTATATGTTATAAGGATTAGCTAACCATTTCATCAGCCATTACTCACACGTTTACACATCTCTCATGTTCTATTTAAATCTCATCATCACCTTCCATCTAGTTATCAGGTGTAAAATGTTTCTAAAGTTAATTATTTGATATGCATTTAAATAAAACAAAATAAATATACTATAGACCTTGTGTGGAGTTTTATTTGTATGTCAGTAAATCAACAAAACAACTGCCTTCTTAGGAAACCTGGTTTCTGACCTAGTTTCCATTCCATGAAGGATAGCACTTCTCTGTGGGAATTGATGTTGGAAGTATATTGCAAACTCTATTTGGTTTAAACTGTATTTATTCAAGTAATGAAATACATGTCATGAATGATACAAATCACATTATCAAACATGATAAGGAAACAAGTACTATGTACTTGTATAAATCCTTCTCATCTTTCTAACAAACTAGTGGCCTTATACAAGACTAATATTTGGTACTACTAGTGGTACTGGTGGTACATGTAAACAAATGAGGAAGTGACAAGTATGTGGTAAGGGACGTGTAAACAAGTGACAAGTATGTGGTAAGGGACGTGTAAACAAGTGACAAGTATGTGGTAAGGGACGTGTAAACAAATGAGGAAAGAGACAAGTATGTGGTAAGGGATGTGTAAACAGGTGACAAGTATGTGGTAAGGGACGTGTAAACAAGTGACAAGTATGTGGTAAGGGACGTGTAAACAAGTGACAAGTATGTGGTAAGGGACGTGTAAACAAATGAAGTGACAAGTATGTGGTAAGGGATGTGTAAAACAGTGACAAGGATGTGGTAAGGGACGTGTAAACAAGTGTCAAGTATGTGGTAAGGGACGTGTAAACAGGTGACAAGTATGTGGTAAGGGACGTGTAAACAAGTGACAAGTATATGGTAAGGGACGTGTAAACAAGTGTCAAGTATGTGGTAGGGGACGTGTAAACAAGTGACAAGTATGTGGTAAGGGACGTGTAAAACAGTGACAAGTATATGGTAAGGGACGTGTAAACAAGTGTCAAGTATGTGGTAAGGGACGTGTAAACAAGTGACAAGTATGTGGTAAGGGACGTGTAAACAAGTGACAAGTATGTGGTAAGGGACGTGTAAACAAATGAGGAAGTGACAAGTATGTGGTAAGGGACGTGTAAACAGGTGACAAGTATGTGGTAAGGGACGTGTAAACAGGTGACAAGTATGTGGTAAGGGACGTGTAAACAAGTGACAAGTATGTGGTAAGGGACGTGTAAACAAATGAGGAAGAGACAAGTATGTGGTAAGGGACGTGTAAACAAGTGACAAGTATGTGGTAAGGGACGTGTAAACAAATGAGGAAGTGACAAGTATGTGGTAAGGGACGTGTAAACAAGTGACAAGTATGTGGTAAGGGACGTGTAAACAAATGAGGAAGTGACAAGTATGTGGTAAGGGACGTGTAAACAAGTGACAAGTATGTGGTAAGGGACGTGTAAACAAATGAGGAAGTGACAAGTATGTGGTAAGGGACGTGTAAACAAGTGACAAGTATGTGGTAAGGGACGTGTAAACAAATGAGGAAGTGACAAGTATGTGGTAAGGGACGTGTAAACAAGTGACAAGTATGTGGTAAGGGACGTGTAAACAAATGAGGAAGTGACAAGTATGTGGTAAGGGACGTGTAAACAAGTGACAAGTATGTGGTAAGGGACGTGTAAACAAATGAGGAAGTGACAAGTATGTGGTAAGGGACGTGTAAACAAGTGACAAGTATGTGGTAAGGGACGTGTAAACAAATGAGGAAGTGACAAGTATGTGGTAAGGGACGTGTAAACAAGTGACAAGTATGTGGTAAGGGACGTGTAAACAAATGAGGAAGTGACAAGTATGTGGTAAGGGACGTGTAAACAAGTGACAAGTATGTGGTAAGGGACGTGTAAACAAATGAGGAAGTGACAAGTATGTGGTAAGGGACGTGTAAACAAGTGACAAGTATGTGGTAAGGGACGTGTAAACAAATGAGGAAGTGACAAGTATGTGGTAAGGGACGTGTAAACAAGTGACAAGTATGTGGTAAGGGACGTGTAAACAAATGAGGAAGTGACAAGTATGTGGTAAGGGACGTGTAAACAAGTGACAAGTATGTGGTAAGGGACGTGTAAACAAATGAGGAAGTGACAAGTATGTGGTAAGGGACGTGTAAACAAGTGACAAGTATGTGGTAAGGGACGTGTAAACAAATGAGGAAGTGACAAGTATGTGGTAAGGGACGTGTAAACAAGTGACAAGTATGTGGTAAGGGACGTGTAAACAAATGAGGAAGTGACAAGTATGTGGTAAGGGACGTGTAAACAAATGACAAGTATGTTGTAAGGTACGTGTAAACAAATGAGGAAGAGACAAGTATGTGGTAAGGGATGTGTAAACAAATGAGGAAGTGACAAGTATGTGGTAAGGGACGTGTAAACAAGTGACAAGTATGTGGTAAGGGACGTGTAAACAAATGACAAGTATGTTGTAAGGTACGTGTAAACAAATGAGGAAGTGACAAGTATGTGGTAAGGGATGTGTAAACAAATGAGGAAGTGACGAGTATGTGGTAAGGGACGCGTAAACAAATGACAAGTATGTGGTAAGGGACGTGTAAACAAGTGACAAGTATGTTGTAAGGTACGTGTAAACAAATGAGGAAGTGACAAGTATGTGGTAAGGGATGTGTAAACAAATAAGAAAGTGACAAGTATGTGGTAAGGGACGTGTAAACAAATGAGGAAGTGACAAGTATGTGGTAATTAAGGGACGTGTTGTGACAGATAAATTGATATTCTATGAAATGGGAAGATTTATGTCATTATACAAACATTTGTGTGGTTTTCACAATTCCATTTCATCAATATATTATTACTTGTATTGCTAAACCAAAACGAATAGAGTGAACAATTAAGGTTTGAACTTTCTCAAACCCTATTTACTGGTACAATATATACCCCAAGCAAAAGTCCACAATTGACATTTGATAAAATAGGAAAGATTTGATGTGTACAAAGAGAAAAGGGAAGGAATAAGGAATGAAAAAACACCTTGATGGCGATAACTGGAGCTAAAAGGGCTGTAACTAAGGTTATCACTGAGGCCTTAAAACCTGTAACGGGCTGTGGTTGTTACTGTGGTTTATCTGGAGCTGTAATTGGAGTTGTTACACGGGTTGTAAGTGAAGTCTGTATATAAATAGAGCTATAACTAGGGCTGTACTTGAGGCTGCTGTTTGCATGTTATTCCTTTGTCAAATATAAATCATGTTGACTGTTTAAAGAAGGTATGTCATCCAGAATGATATTGGCGAGAATTAAGCCTTACTATTACGGAGAAATCCTTCTGTAATAACAACCCTTTCATATAGCACAGGTTTCCATTTAGAAATCCTTCCATAATAAATAAGGGAAATATGTCGGCAATCTGTAGTCGCTCACCTCTAGACTTTTGGTATAAATCAATAAAGGGCCATCACTCTGTATACCATGGGGGGAAAAGATGAGATTTTAGTGCACAACACTATGTTGTCCAAAGAGGTACCTGCATATAAATTTCAAAATTTGGGTGAAAATATATGAAATATGCCCCGGACAATGTGACGAGGACAGTTCCATAGTCACCTCCAGTTGAACCATCAAGGGATTAACAAGCCTCCAGGTTTATATAACAAGCCTCCACCAAGGCAATTATATAACATACAAAAAGGTTTATATAACAAGCCTCCAGGTTTATATAACAAGCCTCCACCAAGGACATTATATAACATACAAATAGGTTTATATAACAAGCCTCCACCAAGGAAATTATATAACATACAAATAGGTTTATATAACAAGCCTCCACCAAGGAAATTATATAACATACAAATAGGTTTATATAACAAGCCTCCACCAAGGAAATTATATAACATACAAATAGGTTTATATAACAAGCCTCCACCAAGGAAATTATATAACATACAAATAGGTTTATATAACAAGCCTCCACCAAGGAAATTATATAACATACAAATAGGTTTATATAACAAGCCTCCACCAAGGAAATTATATAACATACAAATAGGTTTATATAACAAGCCTCCACCAAGGAAATTATATAACATACAAATAGGTTTATATAACAAGCCTCCACCAAGGAAATTATATAACATACAAATAGGTTTATATAACAAGCCTCCACCAAGGAAATTATATAACATACAAATAGGTTTATATAACAAGCCTCCACCAAGGAAATTATATAACATACAAATAGGTTTATATAACAAGCCTCCACCAAGGAAATTATATAACATACAAATAGGTTTATATAACAAGCCTCCACCAAGGAAATTATATAACATACAAATAGGTTTATATAACAAGCCTCCACCAAGGAAATTATATAACATACAAATAGGTTTATATAACAAGCCTCCACCAAGGAAATTATATAACATACAAATAGGTTTATATAACAAGCCTCCACCAAGGAAATTATATAACATACAAATAGGTTTATATAACAAGCCTCCACCAAGGAAATTATATAACATACAAATAGGTTTATATAACAAGCCTCCACCAAGGAAATTATATAACATACAAATAGGTTTATATAACAAGCCTCCACCAAGGAAATTATATAACATACAAATAGGTTTATATAACAAGCCTCCACCAAGGAAATTATATAACATACAAATAGGTTTATAAGAAGAAAAAAAAGCTTCTCTATGAATAATCTTGATTCCACCAAGGAAACACTTCTAAAATGTAACAAGAAGACACTGTCATCATTATCCCCCGCTCACAGTGCAAAAAGGCATTAAAGACATGATATATTACAACAAGTAATTTTTAACCAACTCGATGCATTTTTATTATTCAAGTCACTGAAACATAAAATATTTGCCAAATTCAGTATCTGCAACATGCAATCAGTATTACTTGTAGTAACTAAGATCTGACTTATGCGAACAATTTTTCTTAATCTGAAATATATAGGCAACCAATTGTTGTTAACCAAGGGACTTAAGCGTAAAATTTAGGTCAGATTCGGCATCCGCAACGCAATTAGTAAAATCTATATAAAGCATTGTTAGTAACTATGGTAACCAAGATGTTAATACAACCAATTTTCAGCAAAGTGGAAATCCTCTCACAGTGTTTGTTATGAAAGTAATTGAATGCACGATAAACTTTCTAAACTGCATCATTCAATTTATAAGACATGAAAGGATTACTAGGTGAGCAGGTTGTAGCATGATAACTGGTCTCCAACAAAATGTCATGACTGCATTCAAGTCCCGTTGTCCCAGCTTAACATAAAGGTAAGTACCCACACTATGCATTCAGTAGAGCACCCCGAGATACACAATTGATGTAAGTATAATCAACCAAGCACTTGTAGTAGGCAAGATATGGCTGAGAGCAACTCTTCTTAACCAAGTCAATGAAGGTAAAATCTTTGATAAAAAGTGTGTTTTCGACCCAGGAAACTTTCATAATGAACAACAACGCTTCCAAAATTGAAAAGTGTTTACGATAAACTATGTTTGTACCAATGAAACCCTTTTGTGATAAACAAACGGGCACCTGCCTGTAAAATCTGTTCAACTAGAATTTGCTAAAGACGGAGAAGGATGGTCTGTTTATTAAAGATAACGGAGAAAACATGCAATGGCTTGTTTGAATCCAATTTATCAAAAATAATCTAAAAAAAAACATCTGGACCAATCAAATGCTACTGGTTTTCTGTAACACCAGTGGTCACATCCTCATTACTTCAGGAGTTGCTCTCACTTACGCAGTCTAAACCCCTAGAATATGTGATAGCAAAATTGATGGCATGCGGCTAGCTATTTGATTGGTCTCTGGTAAAAAAAATACCTGACCAGTCACTAGACTGATACCTGTCATTTGAAGATTACAGAGGAGTGACACCTGACTTCAAAGCCAGTCAATTTTACCGTTAGACGGATGAGAGATTCTCAACATGTCACAGTTGATAAACTATTGAATAGCTTGCTCCAATTATCATAGTGTCGTCTTCTGATAGACAAACTTATAACAAGGGGTTCCAAAAGATAAAGGGAAATGAAGACTATGGACAAATTTCATGATGTCATTAGGACATCTTTGTGTGATCTGAAGGTCAATGCTATTTCTTTGTGTGATCTGAAGGTCAACATGTTTAATTGCGCTCACTGCCTTGTTTCTTTGTTGTCACTACCCTTCCTTATGTTATGGCTATGACTTTCAGTAGAAGTAGAAGATGCTTAACCTTCCGTAACACCTGGTCTTATTCTCTTTGTACTTTTTCAACTGTCTCCATGTTAGTCTTACATTTGTTCAAATGTTGCCCTTGTTTTATCGATTTCGATCATTTTGAGTGCAATTCAGGGTTTTGCTTTTCAGTATTCAGTTGTTTCTTGTTGTTTTTTTCTGGTTAAACATGACCAACTTGTTAATGGTAACTGTATACCACTTAATCTATAGGAATGTTGTCAGTTTGCTGGCTGTGAAGACATCGTGTGGACATACTGGTCCACAAACATCACGATATGATTACGTGGTCTTGGGTTGTAGTGCTTTCACTGGTGGTGCTTTCTGTGTAATAAATATAGGTTCCACGTGTGTCCCAATTAATTGTAACACTTTTATCATTAATTTACGTATTATCAGCTCCTCAGTTAATCCAATTAGTTGACATTCGTATACATAACGTGATTACTTATAATCTATGCCAAGTGTGAACTATTTCTGACAAAAAAAAAATCAAAACAATATAGATAATCTAATTATGATTATTTTCTGTCGCAATGTGCTTGAATCAGCTGGTGGACTATCAGCCCCAAAATTTGGCAGGCAACCTTATAGATAGAATTTACTTCGGGAGGGTTTACAAAAAGTACTAGTTTAAGAATAAATTATTTATTTCAGCCTAATGTGCATTGGTGGCGTTAAACGGTATTTTATTAACACCTTTCCCATTCTCTGTATTGGATGTTCATATTAGTAACCCTTAGTTCTACAGATGGGTCTTAAATAAACGAAATAGCTGTTTAATGTTTTTAAACGTTTTCTTTGGCTTTCTGCATTGTCTTGCTAAACAATTTAATAGTGTTTCTTGCTTTTTATTTCTAGTGGTGATTAACGTGATACGGCTGTTGACTGTTCTGGTGGACTGTTAGTTCTAAGGGTGGCCATAACATTGTAGCTAGAAACCTTAGAAATAATTATCTGATGCAGCCAAGAGTTGTAAATTTGTAATATGATAAAGGGTTTTGAAGGCACATTTCCCCTCCTGCTTTTAGAGTTGTGTTTCGGAACACCTGAGACATAGAGATTCCCCAGCAAGTGATGATTGGTTATCTTTATCTAACTCGAGTGATGATTGGTTATCTTTATCTAACTCGAGTTGGTTCATATTCAAATTGTATGAAGTCACGAGGTTTACCGAGTGTCTTTAACAATTTCAAAATTAACTAACGAGAGTAAGAGAAATAGGAGTACAATCAACCATCACGAGTTTAGGCACCGAAAGTGTAACCGAAAATGTTCATCAACTCCTACCAGGTTTATCCAATGGGTTGGGAGTGGGGAATCCTATATTGGATGTAGGAGAAATGACTTTTCAATCTTGTGACCATTAGTACCACTGCTAAGTCTGGAATAGACGACATGGCAAGACATGGCGCGGTAAAACGTTTGCTTTGTTTGGCTCTCTGCATCGACCTGCTGAAGTTTTGAATACGTGATTAATTACTTCGTATTTTTAGAGGTTGATTGATTGATTGATTGATTGATTGATTGATTGACTGACTGATAGGTTTACGTCCGCTTCACTACCGAGTAGTTCGGTTATCCAGCAGACGAAAATTTTAGAGGTTATTTTGCTTTATATTTATAGTGATTATTTGGAGTAATAACTGGGATAACTATCACCAAAAAACCCGTCTGACAATGCTAAACATACAATGCCCCGTCAGACAATAGAAAAAACTGTTAAAGAAGGCCTGAGTAAAGTAAATATTGTATGCCCTTCTCTCAAAGTAGGGATAGATTCTATTTGCCACGCTTCTGGCCTTCAGGTGATCAATCCATGATCCTTTAGATGTTTTCTAAAGAGCTCCTCGTATGTTATATATCCATCCTTGTTTTCGTCAATCTCCTGTATTTTATTTTTCATATTTTGAAATCCCATAATTCGTAGTCTGTTTTCAATTTTAGAATTAGCGACCTTTCCTTCATTGGCGTCGTCAAAATTCTCATAAATCACTCGCCATCGGCTGGTACTGGAAGGAAATAAAACATAACATATTTGAGAGCTGCTTTAACAATTGTATTAATACAAAGTATGAGTTGTATACAAATCTGGAACGTTAATTAAGTCACTATCAACGTAAGGGCAATAGTTAGAGTCATAATGTGATCAATACATTATTTTATTTTGGAATAATAAAACGTAAAATAGACAAAAACAAGGGATGCCGCAGCGTCATAATACAAGCTCAAAACTCACGACATTACACTAGTTTGAATATGCCGCAGCGTCAACACAAAAGACACAGTGCAATAGCGTTAACTCACAATGATAAATTACACCACAACGTCAACAAACAGTCACAAAATATACCACAACGTCAACACAGTCACAAAATATACCACAGCGTCAACGCACAGTCACAAAATATACCACAGGGTCAACACACAGTCACAAAATATACCACAACGTCAACAAACAGTCCCAAAATATACCACAACGTCAACACATAGTCACAAAATATACCACAACGTCAACAAACAGTCCCAAAATATACCACAACGTCAACACATAGTCACAAAATATACTACAACGTCAACACACAGTCACAAAATATACCATAACGTCAACACACAGTCACAAAATATACCCCAGCGTCAACACACAGTCACAAAATATTCCACAACGTCAACACACAGTCACAAAATATACAACAACGTCAACACATAGTCACAAAATATACCACAACGTCAACAAACAGTCCCAAAATATACCACAACGTCAACACATAGTCACAAAATATACCACAACGTCAACAAACAGTCACAAAATATACCACAACGTCAACACAGTCACAAAATATACCACAGCGTCAACGCACAGTCACAAAATATACCACAGGGTCAACACACAGTCACAAAATATACCACAACATCAACAAACAGTCACAAAATATACCACAACGTCAACACACAGGCACAAAATATACCACAACGTCAACACACAAGGGCAAACCGTACCACAGCGTCAACACACAGTCACAAAATATACCCCAACGTCAACACATAGTCACAAAATATACCACAACGTCAACCCACAGTCACAAAATATACCACAACGTCAACACACAGACACAAAATATACCACAACGTCAACACATAGTCACAAAATATACCACAACGTCAACACAGTCACAAAATATACCACAGCGTCAACGCACAGTCACAAAATATACCACAGGGTCAACACACAGTCACAAAATATACCACAACCTCAACACACAGTCACAAAATATACCACAGCGTCAACACAGTCACAAAATATCCCACAACGTCAACACACAGTCACAAAATATACCATAACGTCAACACACAGTCACAAAATATACCACAGCGTCAACACAGTCACAAAATATACCACAACGTCAACGCACAATCACAAAATATACCACAGCGTCAACACAGTCACAAAATATACCACAACGTCAACAAACAGTCCCAAAATATACCACAACGTCAACACATAGTCACAAAATATACTACAACGTCAACACACAGTCACAAAATATACCATAACGTCAACACACAGTCACAAAATATACCCCAGCGTCAACACACAGTCACAAAATATTCCACAACGTCAACACACAGTCACAAAATATACAACAACGTCAACGCACAGTCACAAAATATACCACAGCGTCAACACAGTCACAAAATATACCACAACGTCAACACAGTCACAAAATATACCACAACGTCAACACACAAGGGCAAACCGTACCACAGCGTCAACACAAGACCCACACATACTCAAAATAATACTGAAAAAAAGCAAAGCATGACATGAGGAAACACTCAGACATAATGCAATGGCATCATTGAGCCGAAACTATGTGTTCCGGAAGGGTTAGCGTGGCACCCGTCATGATGTCCACTTAACTACCTGTCGTACACAAGTACCGACAATCGAGCACTTTTATACCTCACTATAATTATTGTACACGAGTTACCGATATACTCTTCTCATTTCAAACAGGTGCGTGGAATTGGTTTGTGGATACCTTATCATGACGTCATCGTCGTCTTTAAGGCTTCAGCATATTCGCTCTTGGATATCTTGTCTTTTCCTCCTTTATTCATTTTCTTCAGAAGCAGCTTGTATATTAAAAAAAACCAGTTCATTATCATTCATAAAAAATACTGATGATGTTATGCATAATTAAATAAAAAAAAAGTATATAATTGTCGTTCATTTTTTTCTGATAATGTATTTCTGCCTAATTCCTCGAAATACACGGCAAATTGTTGGTCATTCCATAAATCAACCGGGTTTAATTAGGCTTTATGAAGTATACTGGTTATACATGAATATAAAACTGTAAATCAGTTCATTCAAAACACTTTTTAAAATTATTTTGAAAAACAAAGGTAAGACATTAATAAAAAAAAACCCATTATTACTGTTTAATTGATATCTTGATATACAAATTAAATCACTTTATTATCATGAAATATAATAGTAGTATTCAAATATGAATTACTTGAGCATTACGAAATATGATTGTGATTTTTATATATATAACTGTATGTAATTGTGATTTATATATATATATAACTGTAAAACGCTTATTTTGACAATAAATTACCTTGTTCCTGATAGTTTCGCGAAAAGAACATAATACATATGTCGGCTTGCTTATTATGGATTGCGATTAATTTTCAAAATAATCTTCCGGTATTTATTTGCGGAGAATTAAATAGCACTTTACTCCACGTTGATGGTCATTGTTATATGGACGAATCGTCTAGGTAATACATGAATTCGCGATAGAAATAATCGTCTTAATAATTCCTGAATCTGTGATTACTACTGAGCGCGAGTTTGTGCTGGGAGTTACAATGATAAGAAAGCCAATAGTGGTCGTATTAAGTAGTTTGATATGAAGTAACAACCTCAGTTCTGTACCATATTGTCACTATACTTTTATGATTTTAATTTACTTTCAGGTAAGTTCTTTTTAACAACGCAAATGCAGTTAGAGGTTTGTAATACATCACAGGCCATTATGAACGTGTATACTGAGAAACAGGTGAATTGTTGGCTTCAGTAGCTTGGTCTGTGTTTATAAAGTGGATTTGAAACAAAATTACCTCAGTTTGCCCTTGGTCTCCTCCGAAACCCAGAGCCAGAAGAAGGTTAGTGAACTGTCGTATTGACAGAAATCCGTCTTCATCTGTGTCCATAACTGTAAACTCCGTCTCTAGGTAATGGTCGTCGCTGAAGTGTATTTGTTTGCATAAAAATAAGTGTTTTGTTGTAACAAGTAGAAAATCTGAACGACATGTACATGGTTGAAATAACAATGTAATGGGTAACTCTTTCTGTGGCGATAAGTTATTTAGGACTATTTAAAATCGTACATGCGTACAATTATATGGCCTAAATAAAATTAAAGCAAAAAACAAGCAATGACAAATTACACCACACCATATTTGTATGATAAAATATTTATCAGCATTAACATACAATGAAAAAATACACTACAGCATCAGTTCAAAAGGACAAATACGCCACAAAATCAGCACACTGGGACAAACTATAACTCAACATCGCCTCAACACACAAGGAAAACTGTACAGCGTCAGCACAAAATGTCAAATTATACCACAGCATAAACTCACAACGATTAAATATATAACATTATCAACACACGAAGATATAATTCACAACAGCGTCGACACACAAGGACAACATATACCACAGTGTCGAAACGTAACGACAAATATACCATAGCATCCACATACAAGGATAAAATTCCAAAATCAACATGATCCAAGCAGCTCTCTCAAAACAAAACAAAATGCAGCATGAATGATTTAATCCGGAAAAGTATGGAGGTCAACAACAATTAACGGCATAGAGAGCAAGACACTGAAACCATATAGATAGAATGCAGGCAATGAGGACGAGCATATATTTTCCGTAGTTGACCTAAGCGCGCCCGGTAGAAAACCCTGGCTAACTAACCGATTGATTTACAGAGCACATCAGTCCGACAATCCGGAGACTTAGTACAGGGTATGATGCAGTGGAATGATCAGCTATAGAAAGACACAGACATCATAAAGATAGAAAGTAGGCCACAATGACCATTCTAAAATTTACTCAGTAGACTGAAACATGTCCGGTAGAAAATCCTAGCTAACTCTGATTGATTAACATATGTAATATAATCCTGATACTTAGTACAGGGTATGGTGCAGCTGTATACTATATGTCAACTCCTACAGCAGTGGAGGCTGGAATGTTACTACCGAGCAAGGGGAAGTTGATGACTGTGTATGACACCCTTATTATAACACGGTAAGTTAATACTTAAATATCTTCATGTTTTTATGTTCGTATAAGTCACCCACATAAATTAAACATACGTTGATTTCAATAGATAACGCAGGTTATTAAAGTGTCAGATACTATCAGACTATACTCGCGATAAATAACAAAGATGCATCAACGAGAGGCAAATATCAGTAGATCTAGGCCATTACGAAACCAGTAGAATTTAAACGTTTATATATTAATATAAAAATCAATTAAATGACTTTCAATATTTTCTTTTTTTTTCTGGATTTTTTCCTTGTGTAATTGCCGATATGGTTAATATTTATTTTTATATTACTTATCATTTTTAGCACGAAACTGTCTAATAAATACATATTTTTAATGTTTAGTGCCATGTAAGATGAAAACCGGCGTGAGGTAAGGGGTAAGTATACGTGCATTAATCTGTCAAATTATCTATGATATTACTGTTTTTTACAGGTCGGTTGTTGTATAGACATTATTTAGGTTAATTACTTCAGTTTTACTTAAATTCGTTTGAAATATTTGTGTATGTTCAATTTCCCCATAATATTATAACCTGCAGATATTTACTACAATGTCGTCGTAGCTATATAGATGATTCCTTGTGATAAATTTAGGTAGCAAGGTGGTTGACTGCTGGGCTGTCAGTCCCCCATCCTTGATACTCAGAGGGTTACTCTCACTTACGCTCTCTGCACCCATTGAATATGTAATAGTGAAATCGAAGGCTCAGTGGGCGTCATCTTGTGGGTGAGAAAAGAAGACTAGTTTGATCATTTGATTTACATCAAAAGAATTTCGTGGTCGCATAACGGTAAAATTGACTGGCTTTGAAGTCGAGTGTCGCTCCTCTGTAATCTTCAAAGGAAATGTATCAGCCTAGCAATTGGTCAGGTGTTTTTTTACATGAGACCAATCAAATAGCTAGACGCGTGTCTTCAGTTTTGCTATGACATATATTCCAGGGGTGAAGAGAACGAAAGTGAGCGTGACCCTTAGAGTATCGAGGATGTCAGTCCCCGAGGTGGGCGTAGCTTTGTAGTGCTTATAAGTGTGCCTTTTGGTTTTGTTGTCATTACTCGTGTGCTAATTACATGGTGTACGGAGAAACAGGAAGATATCCTATCCAGATTGAAATTAATTGTAAAATGATAAAGTTGTGGTATAATTGAGTCACTTGTCATGATAAGCTTTCAGGCAAAATTTACAAAATCATGTACAAGTTACACGAAAATAACGTCATTAAGTTTAAATGGTTGCAAAGTATTAAAGAATTACTAGGTTATTTCAAGAAACATGTACTGTTAGCAAGCCGCTACTGAAAAATATACTTAAATCTAAGTTACAGGATCAATTTATTCAAAAATGGAATCATGACGTCACAATATCGTCTAGAGGGAATACCTATTCTATTTTTAAGAAAGATTTTGGCTTACAAGAATATTTGAAACGGCTTGGGGAAAAAGATCGGGAAATAATGTCTAAATTCAGAACATAAAATTCGAAACTCCCTATCGAAACAGGAAGATGGACAGGTGTCCCAAGGGATAATAGAATATGTCCTCTCTGTAACATCGATGTGTGCGACGAATTCCATTATTTATTTATTTGTAATAACAGTCAGATTACGGAACTGAGGCAAAAATATATACCTAAGCATTACAATAATTATCCGACGACCGTGAAAATGAAAGGAATGTTTCAAATATGCAACACTGTTCTCCTTAAAAAAGTTTGTAGATTTCTAGAAACAACATTGAAAATATTAATCATGTTGTAAATCCTGTTATATCATAAGTTATACAGAATTAGATGTTGTATTTGTATAAATGTGACCTCTTTTACCACACTTTAGCTGGGTGAAATAAAAACTTGTTGTCACTACCCGTGTTCTAGATTTGAGGATGTGGCATTACTTGGATTTGACCAACAGTTACGAAGCATTTCCAAAGGTCCTGTTTATATATTTTCGTTGTTCATATTATGGTCATGTTTTATCGACTTCGAGTTCCAACTGCTCATTTGGAGGTTATGCTTTTTGTGAGCTTTTTGTTCTGGTGAGCTACCTTACGGTGTGATTTAAAAAATAAATAAAGAATCTTCTCAGAATGTTGGCTTACTTATAAATAATTGCTTTCGTACTGTTACCTGCATCTATCGATACAGATAGTGTGATATATTGTATTTCCATGTGTGTTGTGATAAATTTTATTTTATATTTTCCCTTATTTTTATGTGTGTATTTCAATATATTGATTGATAACATTATAATTCATGTAAGCTAATTATGGCCACCAATAAGATATAACAAGTTTACTCAATAATTGAATACATATTCTGATAAAACCTGCGGTTGAGGATCACTTAATTTAGAAAGTACATAAACAAATAATTACTTACCTCGAGCTTTTCGATAAACGATCCCCCATACCTTTACTCGTTGCGGTATTTTGTTATATAGAGTGAATCCAATTCCGAGTATTTCGTTATGAGACGATATATATTTTTTATTTATTTTTAATTATATCCACAATTAGATTAGATAGCAGTTAGATGTTGTTCCCGCGGCATTACTATCTGTAATTATATATTTTTTATAATAGACTGGGCGTGACACGACATCAAACGAACGTTCTGTACACGTACACAGTAAGCAGGGGTCGCTTGTTTGACAGTGGTTTATGATCGGCTGTCAATATTATCTTATAAATATTATCTATTGAAAATCTATAACGCTATAAAAGGTTTCATAGATAAATTTTCCTTGCGCTGTATTTCTGTATGTTTCGAAACAACTTTTGCCTCTAGTACCAGCGACGAGACTTGTAATTGAATAAAGGCTTTATTCATCGACACAATTTCTTTTAAATATTTGTTTCTAAATATATACTACTTCATCTTCTGCTTTACGTCACAGGACAGTTTACAGATGGACTGTCAGTTCCTTACCGTGTATTAGATTTTATAACTTTCTCCTTACTCTGTATATATTCCGTCTTTTCGTATTGCAGAGGTATCTTCTCTTGTTAGCAGGAGGAATTGATTGCTACGTCATTGGTTTGTGAGAATAGCGTCATCAATTTTTGAGAAAACGACGTAATTTCCCCACATAAACCAATGACGTAACGATCAATACCTGCTCACAGGAGAAGATAACTCTGCAATACGCAAAGACGGAACAGGGGGAATAAGATTAATCAGTTTGGTATGAATAATGAAGACAAAGTGTTTTTTAACACGAACAGGAATTGAAAACTTATTTTTCGCGAGCTTTCGAAAACGTCTGTTTCCTTTGTCAAGCAAAGAGTGCAAATGACTAATGTCTCGACTCTAAACTGCTGAAAACAGAACTCACAAAGCCTGGTAACATGGTTACCCATTTCGCCCCTTAGTGGATGGTAACATGGTTACCCATTTCGCCCCTTAGTGGATGGTAACATGCTAAAATGTCTCTATGATTTTTGACAGCTGACTTTAGTTGATTTGGCCCACTGAGGCTTAGTGAGTTGTTTTCAATTAAATACTGATATTTTGTATTAAGAGTAGTCGCCCCGGGCCCATACCATTACTCGTGGATACTATGTACGGGATAGTTTTGGATATATTTGAAATTTAAAAAACAAAGCACATTTAATGATGAAAAAAAATGTTTATTTTTTCACGATATATGTTCTCATATAAGTTATAAGAGTATAAATATATAACAAAATGATATAAAACATGCATAAACGAAAATCCGCCATAGGACTGAGAATTTTGAAGTCTAAACACTAATAATATATAACATATATTAGCGACAGTCTAACATGGGACTGAGGAGTTTGAAGACTTAACACTTATAATATATAACATATATATTAACGACAGTCTAACATGGGACTGAGGAGTTTGAAGACTTAACACT